GAATCATAAGAATGGCAATTTTATTTTCTAAGTCATTGAATTACAGTTACTTCATCAGATTAAGGTATCACATGATTCTAGAGAACGAGAAGCAGCATAGAAAGGTTATATAGCAGGACTTTAAAGTATGCATACAGTGTAAACAAAAACAGATGTAGGAAGACTGCTCTCTCTGTAGTCATGTGGGATGAATGGTGATATTTGCCGACAAGAAACTTTCAGTTCTGGGTCTGGTTCACCTGGATATGAAAGGAAAAATCAAAATGAAATCTATAGAACTGAGTCAACATATCAGAAAAGAAATACTCTAGCTGAGTAGCACAGTACCATCATATACTGTCCAAGCCCTAGGAAAGAGTGCATGATATGTAGAATGCTGTCCACTCAGATTCCAGCCCCACGACGATATACCATGATCACTTACTTTCCTGTAAGAGGAAGAAAATATAGACATAAGAATCTTCTCATTTTACCTTTCCCTCCTTTTCTATTCCCTCTTGAAATGTAAAGGAATTCAGCTATCAGGTCAGGGTGTTTCAGAGTGAAGCTTATTTACTTCATGATAAACAAATCAATTCGCACCTCGTTTCAACATAGTACACCTCCTGTACGCATTAGCACAAAAGCTACCGGTGCCAGTTTAATTGAATTACCAATAGTATGGCACCAAAGGGACTTTTTTCATTTTCTATCTTCGAGACAAATTTCAGCAAGTTGGTCCATCAGCTACTAAACTTTCTCTTTATTTCGACAGAAGATTCTTTTTTTTTTTGCCGCTAAATATGGTATGTGATCGAGTTTGGAAGTTGATTTTTCTTTTAGTTCGAAGATTCCAGTGATCTAGCTAATGAATGCAAGAAATGGATCAAAAATATCAGAAACTGAAGGAAGATGGATGTTAAGGAACATAAGTGTTCTCAGAACGCCCTCCTCCACTCCCCCATCGCCCCACCCCCCAAAAAAATAGATGAAGAAATCTACTATCAGTCGGCATGAAGTTGAAATTACTCCTCAGACACTTAGTTCCTTACCCTAGCCCTTCATGTTCTCCCGGAGATAAAACGGATGCATACTTTTTGTTTCCTCCATCCCGGGATATAAAAATCTGCATTAAAAAAGAAATCATGATAAATTAAGTGCTTTAATCANGGAAGAATCATGATAAATTAAGTGCTTCAATCATACATCCAAGACAAAAAACAGTCTTCCCAAGCAACAAATCACAGGCCTTGTTATAACTAACTGCTTCAAGTACTTTTTTTTTTTTGAGGTACTTGACAGCATATCACGATACAGAACTGTTAACTCTATCAAATGCATATACTCGCTCTAGAAAGCCAGCTGGATCGGCTAGCCCCAACTTACAGATCTGCAATGGAATCGTGTCCTTCAAGTGTGTATTGCTCTGTAACGCTTCATCTCCAACAATGCTTTATCATAAATTCCTCTGAACCCGATATGGATTTGATTCAATAATGAAACTGTGATTGGTCTTTGGTTCGACTAACACACAAAACACCATAATCTCTACACCTTCAGTATATCTTAAAACAATATATAGTACCTGCCGACATCACATGTACTAACTTCAAGATGAAAGATTCCAAGCTAAGCAACATGATTTCTGACTCACTACTCTCGTCTATATCAGTGGGGACAATTCTTTCATTTTTGTTTTTCCAGCCCCTCTTCTGTGTAGTCAACTACTCTATGAGGATAGAGTGATAGACAGGTGGTTGCATTCGTTCAATTCACATATGTTCGTACAACAATGAGGCACTTTGGATGCCACTCGCACCACGGAAAATCTCATAGAAAACAAATACCGCTCAATAAACATTATTACTCCAATTTTAGCCAATTTCTAAAAAGTCAAAAGGGAGCAGCATTACAGCTCATTAACTACTCAAACGCCAACCTTCAAATAAGGCATATGCTAAATGTTCAAGAACTGCTTAATTAGTAGAAATTCTTGGATGATGATTCTTACGAGCGAGTTATCAATCTGCCATGTTTTTCGTTATGAGTGCTAAAACATTATGTTAACCATGACAAGGCTAAATTTGACTCACTTTTAAAGTATCAAGATTATGGAAAACACCAGCAACGATGGGCTATTTTGAAAGCCATTTGATAGTGTCATAGAATGTTAGACTTAGTATTAATTAGTTCCTCATTAGGTAAATATAAGATGTGGATAGCGTATTGTACTCCGCTATCATTGAGTTATCTTTTGTCTCCTCTCCTCTAATTTTCTCACATGCTATAACTCTTGATTGCCTGTCCAGCCAAAGTTTTTCCTTCTTTTCGTAATTATGCTATTCTTACCTCTATTGACAATTCCAGCAAGTCAGCAACACTGCCACCTTTCATCATATCTTCTGGCCACTATTCTGGCCATTGTTCCAGCGGCAACTTTTGCGCCAAGATATTAATGATGGCACTCTCAACAAGCTTCCCGTGGCCGAAAATTTTTGGACAAGATTCAGTGACCAAAACATTTCTGACCAGAGGTCATGTGGTAACTTTTTGGAAGGTTACTCAGCTACTATTTCAATGAGTATTTACTTTTCTCTATATAAATAATCAAACATAGGTTGGTTACACTATCTTGTGGTTGAAAAGGTTATTAGAATATAAAGTTTAAAGTGTCAATGTTACTTTTAGTCCTAAGATAATCTTTTGTTAGTGAAATATAAGATGTGGTTTGTAGATAAAAGCGGTATAACTCTAGCTCATACATCTTGAGCTTACACCGAGTGCTCCTCATTCGTTCATAAAACAGCATCAAAATATCCAAATACAGATATGAACTGAAAGAATATAGAGTTGAGGGATAGAGCATTACTGAGAACTGATTGGCCATGATTGGAGAAGTCTCACATGTTCCAGGAAGAATCTGGAAGTGCTTGAACTCGCCTCTGAAGCCTCTGGATATGCTGCCGCTCCTGTGATGTTATAAGTTTGATATCTCATCAGATCAATAAAAGAATTCCAATACGGCAGAACAGCTGTTCACTAGTTTATACTCTATACACTAACCCCATCCCTCCAAGTGGAACACCCTGAGATGCTGATGGTTTGCAGCGTTCTCGTGTAAAGGGATCAATTGGAGCTTTCTGCAAATGTAAGAGAATGGTAGGACCTTTCAGAAATCCCTTAACTTTACAGCACTCATTCAAAGCATGAAATTATACTTGTATCTATATAAGGCAGATGAGATCAAGAAAGTTACCCTTCCATAGGATGCTTCTTCCCTTACATATGACCATAGACGTATACCAAGCCGAACCTAAAAAAAATAAACAAAGATTACAAGGCAAAGCAACAAGTCAAAATCCAGGGGAATTTTCCTATATGACAATAGTTGTAAAAGCCTAAAACAGACATGCATACCATTTTTATTGCCTCCGTGAATGTTACACTAAATTCTTTTAACTTGCTAGCATGGCTATTTAGTTTCCTTCTCCAAGCTTGAGATGGTGGTGCAGCACTATCAAAATCAAACTGCAGCAAGCAAAACACAAGATCACTAAAACTATTTTAAAAAATTGAACATCATCAAAGTGAAAGATCAAAAAGCAACTCCCTACAATATGAAAACAAACAAACAAAATAAAACAACACGAAAATAAAGGAGATAAAATTGGAACTATGTTGCAGGACCAATATTAAGACATACAAGGAAGAAAAACAATTAACTTCAAAACAACTTCAAACATCATTAACAACATTTTCCCTGGCATAGTGAAGCATGTTTTTTAGCTTTCAAGTTCAGCATATATTCACAATTACATTCAACTGGTCTCATTATTTTCCATGGCATAAAAGAGCAGCCCGATGCACAAGGCATCCCGCGTTCACACAACATAAAAGAGCAGACCGTGGTATGATGTAGACTGCCCACCCTAATGCAAGCAATAGTGGCGGCTTGCACGGGGCGAACCTGTAACATATAAGTCACACTTTACTGTTGCTGCAAGGCTCCGTTCTTATTTTCCATGGCATAAAACAACAAATTTTGTTGCAACAACTACGACTCCGACTCAGTCTTAAACAAATTGAGGTCGGCTATAAACAACAAAAAGAATTTGTCCATTACAAAAAATAATATTACCAGCTAATTAACAAGGTAGTTAGCTAGAACTTACCAATTGTAAAGTTGATTTACTGATATATTCCTCAGGTGGCCATGAGTTCTTTCTACAATGAAACAAAGTTCCACTCACCATTTTTATTCTCCTTAAAACACTAAAAGACCAAACCTTTCTCCAATCAACTTGCCCTCAAAACCATTTACCAAACAGTGCCTTAAGCCAACAAATACAAGGGGGGGAAATCCAAACTTGGCTTCAAGTTTTCCAATAAAATCCCAACAAATAAGTAATCTACTAATCTTCTCTTCAACTACACTACAAAACTTGATCAAAATTCAGTTTGATCCCAAAATCTCAGAAAAAACAAACACAGAGCCAAAATTAGACCAGATGATGATAAACCCAGTAGTATTATAAAGGTGGGATTTTTTGGGATTCCCCAAAATTCAATTCTGGGTATATAGAAATTAATCAAAGAATATTTTTTGGGGGGTGGGGCTTTTTCTTGGGTTTATTGCATATATTTTTCTTTTGGGTATTGAGTATTGAGAGGATCCAACAGGTGTAAACCAGGAGTTCTGAAACTGTGTCAAACAGTTGCCAGGTGTATCATCAAAGAAGAAAAAATACTGACTAGTTTTTTGGGGGCTGGGGTTAATGTAATGGTCTTCTCTCTGTCTATTTTACTCTTTGTTGATGTGTAGAGAGAGAAACAAAAGTTTCTAGATAGAGAAAGAGAAAGAGAAAGGACAGTTGCAGAGAGAGAGAGAAGTTTTCAATTTAATAATAGTATTCAACAAGGATAGTGATATGAGAACTCTTTGATTTGCGATGGCTTTGGATAAAAAAATTATGAGCGCAGGTGGTTTTGTACTAGAAATAATGGATAAAATTGTGATATAATTAATTATCGTGAAATTATAATATTATTTTTATTCTTATGAAAAGGTAAAATAATAATTCTAAAATAATTAGTCTCGAGATCATTAATTATGGAATAACTTATTTCTCAATCAAACAACAAGTATATAATAGTTTTTTGATACGTTACACATGTATTTTATGAGATCAATATAAATTTTTAAAAATTATATAAATATTATTAAAATATGTGCATTAGATATAAAATAAAATTGGAAGATTAGAAAGTACCAGTTCAATTTGCAGATGTAAAATAATTATTAACTTCTATATATGTCATCATATGTAAAATTTGCTAAACTAAATTTTATTTAGATAACACTTTGTGTTATAAGAGGGATATATAGAGACTGGTGATTATATTTGATAAGACGGTGAAATTGATTACCTAAAACTTTGATTTTTCTTTCTCCTCTAATTCTACCAAAAGAGTTAATTTTGTATTATCCTTTCCATATTGTTAATTGGATATTTAGTAAAGAAAGTGAACAAGATTTACAACTTAGCTAGGAGAGTAAAGCAAGTATTTTGACATGAATTTCAATATGAGAGAAAACAAACGCTAAACCATATAGACAATATACCGTAACTCTATTGATGTTATGATTCTTCATTATTTGTCTCTTAAAATAGTAGAATAACAATGAGGTTCTAATACAATAATAATAGCATATTCAGTGTGATTCACAAGTATAGAATAACAAAGGGTAGCGTGTATGCATACTTTATTATTTTGTGAGATGTGCGAGGTAGAGAGGCTATTTTCGACTCTCGGCTAAATAAGAACATTTCTAAAACAGGTTTAAAAAATACAAGAGTAAAGACGTTATGATGAAAATACTAGAAAAAAGAAAAGTATTAGTAGCAAAAATAGTAAGATAATCAAATCAAAGAAAATAATAGTAGTAATAAAATTGAATAATAATAATAATAATAACAATAATAATAATAATAATAATAATAATAATAATAATAATAATAAAAGGTGTTCTAAACTAGAGCCACGACCTCCCTCTGAAAAGAAAAAAATCGCTTGGACTACCTATTTTCTACCTTAATACTCGACATCCATGTTCTCTTATCTAGGATAATGTCCTCGATCAGCTAAAGATGTGTCATGTCATATCTAATCACATCTCCGCCAATTATTCTTCGGTCTACCTCTACTTCTCCTTAGGCCTATCATTGCCAATACGTCGCACTTCCTCACTTGGGTAGTTGTGCCCCTGCTCTTTACATCTCTTACCATCTCAGTCTCGCTTCTTTCATCTTGTCCACCACGGAGGCCACTCCACCTTATATTGTATATCTTCGTTCCTAATTTTATGTCTCCTAATATATGCACACATCAATCTAAACATTCTCATTTTCATTAATTTCATCTTTTAAATGTATGAGTTCTTGACTACTAACACTAGACATACTACAATTAATGTTCTAATGACAAGTATATATTGGGAAGACCAAGTAAAAATAAAAAGTTAAAAGTATATATTGGTACCTCAATTTTGGTTGGCGGAAAAATAAAAAGCTCTATTTCATTCCTCATAGCCATAATAACATCCCTTGGTATGTATGATTTGCTGTAATGAATAAATAACATTTCCTGTCAATTCCAAACCGTAACAATAATTACTATAAAAATTTAAAAAATTAAATAAAAAAAAAACAATAATTACTATGTAAAGCTTATTACCGGCTTTGTTGTGCTTGAAAACCCACTTTTTTCCTTTTTCACATAATTAAGGAAATCAGAGATTGAAAAATAAAAAGAGATCGAATGATTAGGGAAGACTTGAATCTTGTACAAATAGAACACGAAATAGTAATAATTTACCAGTGAATTATAACTTGATTCTCAAAAACATTTTAGTTTGGATAAATGTTTTAAAAGGAAAATTTTGGATTCGTCTTTAAATTATAACACTTCCTTGAAACACTAAAGTTTAAGGACTAAAGAATAAATAGGTGGGACGTAACAATATACTTTGACATATGATAATTTATTATATTTTTCTATATGCTTAATGCTTATCTTTGGAGTAATATTTTACTAAATAAATTATTAACCTGATATACGACATTCTACTTTGTCAAACTAAATGAAATTTTTCGACTAAATTATCTTGTCGTCAATTACGTGTCTCTCCTCAAATTTGGTAATTCGTTCTCATAATCTTTTACCTATTTTGCTTAAAATTATCTTCTTCTTTTTTAGGAGATGAGGAGAGGAATTTGTAAGGAAATTGACAAAAAAACTAGGAGTTCAACATAAATTATCTTGTTGTCAATTATGCATCTCTCCTCAAATTTGGCAACTCGTTCTCATAATAATTTACCTATCTTCTTAAAATTATATTCATGAGTTTAGAAGAGGAATGAATTTGTAAGGCGTTTGCAACAAAAATACGAACAAGTTATTTCCCTTTTAAAATCAATTTGTATAATTAAGGAACAAAATTAAAACTCATAACGTTTTAAATTTGGTTTATTATCCATACATAAAAAGTTGAGAAAATTTCTAGCTAAGGTCATCTCCAACCCTCCCTCATTTTTCCATAATGGGGGCAACTTTTGCCATAATGAAGCTCCAACCCTCCCCCATTTTTGCCCCCAAAATGGGGGATTAGTAGTGTTCTTCCAAATATGGGGTACACTATTCATGCATATTTTATTATTATTTTATTATTTAACTCTTTTAATTTATCTCTTTATATATACTTAATTATGTTTATGTAATATCTTTATAATATTAATTTTACATCTTAGCTTTGGCGTATAATTTTGATAAATTAATTTTCGTGCATTTATTATTTTTATGTAAAATTATAAGTTAATTTTATTATAAGTTATAATTGTACAAAAAATATATAATTATCTCAAAAAATGAATGGTGCGAATATAAAATATTAGATGTTGCTAAAAATGAAAAATGAAAATTGAAAATACATTAAAATTGGAAATACATAAAAATTGAAAATACAGTAAATTAAAATACATAAAAATTGAAACTATGGTAAATAGCATAATAACTTAGTAGGGAGGTATGTCGTTTCCAGATACACCAAAATCATTATAGTATTGAGTGAATGGGACCGAGGATTGTTGTGGTTGTGAGTGTGAATATTGTTGACTTCTTTTATACATTATTCGTTATTGTTCTTGTCGCATAAATTCACGACGAGTCGGATCGGCAATAGAATCCACATTCATCATTAAAATTGGAGAGTCGACTGCAATTGAGAGCCTGAAGAGATTTTGCCGAGTTGTCGTAGAGGTTTCTGGCGAGCAGTATTTGAGATCACCAACACCTAACGATGTTGCAAGGCTTCTGCACATCAGTGAACAATGTGGCTTTCGAGGAATGCTAGGCAGTCTAGACTGCATGCATTGGAAATGAAAAATTTGTCCAACAGCATGAGCTGGACAATATGCAGGTCGTAGTGGATCCTCAATAATTATTCTTGAAGTTGTGGCTAATTATGACCTTTGGATATGGCATGCATATTTTGGTATGTCTGGCACCAATAATGACATTAATATTTTTGAGTCATCACATTTGTTTTCCGATCTTGCTGTAGGTACTGCTCCTCCCGCCCATTATGTTATTCAAGGACAATAATATAATATGGGTTATTATTTAGCTGACGGTATATATCCAAAATGGTCAACCCTTGTGCAAACTATTCGTGAGCCACGTTCGGCAAAGAAGAAATATTTTTGCGATGAAACAAGAATCATGTCGAAAAAATGTTGAACGTGCATTCGGAGTTTTGCAACAACGCTTTGAAATTGTTTTAATGGAAATTACAAATTAATGAAAATAGAAGATGGAATTTGTTTAATGAAATTTAAAAAATAAAAATTGGAATGAAAGATAATAATATAATATAGAAGAGAGAGAAGAATATAAAAAAAGAATATTCTCTTTTGGGGGGAAAAATTTGAGAATGGTTGGAATAAGTTATCCCCAAAATAAGAAAATCCCTATTTTGGAAACCAAAATGAGGGTAAAGGTCGGAGATGTCCTAAAGAATAAATGTTTTAAATGCCTAGGCAATAATAGCCAACGCGTATCGTCTTCTAGAACTAGAATGTATATTTATTTTCTCGATTTCTCGATACCTAATTGAACTTCTTTACTTTGAAAAATCGTGCATGCATTGATTGAACCCATTTAATTAATGATAGTTACCAGTTTTCTTCTGGATGAAAATTAGCTCAAAAGGAAATTAACCAATTGACCAAATCAAGTTATTACTCCATCCGTCTCGTCTTATCAGTTATGGTTACTAAAAATAATTATCATTTTAGAAATTCAACACAAAATTGATTTTTCTTTTCTCTTAATAATAATTATACTTGAAGACTACAAACATCTAACTTTGTTCAAATATCAATAAAGAAAAATTAAATATTAAGACATAAATAAGGGTAAATTAAAGTAATCAAAATCTCATGATAATTATTTTTTTAAAGGGGCATGTACAAGAGAATCATGACAGATAATATGAGACGGGAGAGTAATAATCAAACTAAATAATTTATATCTTTACACATGAACTCACTGTACATTTCGTAACTAATTTAAATGACTTCAAATACGATGTAGCTTATTAGTCACATAAAGAAACAACCATTTGGTATTCCAACAAGAAATAAAGTACCTAAGATTCTAGAATACAAGTCGAAATCTTGATAAAAACAACTTTATTTCTTCTTTTTTTTTTAGGAAGACCCTATATTCTTTTATTTTTTCCCCATCCCCTCTAAATTCTAATCATATGTCCAACAATAAAATTAATAGTTCGGCAAAATATTTTTCCTTTTTTTATAT